CAAACTGTTTCTTTATGCTTATTTGCAGCAGCGTTGTCAGGTACAGGAAAAAATATCCTGAGGACAGGTATTTGGAATCCTTTACCGGAAATCTGCTAAACTTTCCTTAGTGCAATTTTAACATAAAAGTTACCATTGATGGTCCTTCCTTTGGGTGTATGATTTAATTGATGAAATATGTTTGGAGAACTTGTTTCTCTTTCAAAAAAATAGGACGACAGCTTTGTCTCTGGTTCCACATTTTATTCTTGATCTTTCTTTTCGGCTATAAAAAGTGCACCCATGTTTTGTCATCCATCGCCAAAGTTTATGAAATGTTTTTTTTTTTTTTTAGTAAAAATTTTTATTTTTAAAATAGACCATTGGCAAATTTAATTCCTGAGTTTTCTAAGGCAATTGCAAAGAAATAAAGCATCTATCTGACAAAGAATTATTGTTACATGTAGATTAATTTTCTTTGTCAAAAGTCTCTGTCTATAAACTGTAGTGACGATGAAATGTTTAGCGTCTTAGTAATGTCTATCAATGTAAATCTGGCATTATCAGATATCATGTTGTTCACAGCATCGGTATTATTTGATTAGAAAGTCAGCCAGTAGCATATTATTTCATGCTTTGTGATGATCAAAGGTTTCCTTTTAATACAGTGACAAGAGTATAGACAAGTACCCGTACCCGTAGAGGAATGGGCTTCACTCCCTTAAGGTTCTAAGTAAAGATTCGGCAGAATGAAGAAGAGACATCATGATCTGTACTAATTTTCATTTCTTAAAAAAACACATTATTTTATAGAAGAAATGAGAAAGGTCCTGAAATCGATTGAAAAGAAAAAAAAACTGTAAACGATTTTAAAATTGTACATCAAGATGTATTTAAACTCATTCACAATACATGTATACAGTAAGACCATCATCGCATGTGAGTTTTGTCCGCGGAGGGGGAGAGGGTTATAATTATATTGTTTTGCTCTAGCTACAAAGTGATAGAGAAGCATTTTTGTCTCAAACACTTCAAGGCAACTTTCCTAGTTAAAACTGTTCACATTTACTTCGTCGTCGAAAACGACGGAGCACAGATCAGTCTATAAATAGAGGCCGTCTCATCAATCTATTACTGACCAGAGAGTGTGCAATAAGAAGCACGCCCTCTGGTAAGAGAGTAATATGAATTTCTTTAGAACGACTCATCTTATTACATTGTATTTTTCCCAGAGTTCCAATCTACGCTAGCACACTTGCAGTTTCATCCCGACGTAACTAGTCAGCCCGGGGGCTAACTAATAAATGACCAAACAGTGACATGTCTTAGATATTCGTTAATTTGTAGTATATTTGGTTATGACATTTGAGAAAGTCAATTGTACATCTTGTGTAATGAAGTATCGCAAGTATGTCGCTCCTTGATGACATAACGTTTAGTACTTCTCTTGCTTATAAGATCCATAGATATTGATTGATTTAGTCAGACAAGCTTTTCTAAAAGCTATTACTTGTTTACATGTACTTTCGTGAATATTTATAAATATTTCAGAATACAATAAATCAAGTAAAGTGATATTTAGATTCAGCTACTAATTAAATGACAATCTTGTTCTTTTATTACATGAACATCATATTTTTCATTTGAGTATATGTGCTTTTGTACTTTCTTTCCAATCCCATTTTTTAAAAATATATCTTGAAGTTTCTTAAAACAATTTTTACCTAGGTTAGAAAGAAAAAAACCCAACAACAACAATAGCAATGTTAAAAGCAGCAAAATACGAAACACAACAAAAGACAGAAAACATGACAGAAATAATATAAGCATATAAACTGTTCCAGTGCTAATTCCCCATTGTGAATTTTAGATGGTAGTTATGTATGTATTTAAGCTGACTCACAATAAATGTGTATATTTCAAAGGCACTTGCAATATTTCTTTTCGCCAAAAATAATATCCTTGCTTATTTATTGTGATAAGAAATAAAAACACATCAAGCAAATGAGACTGTTGAAATTGCGTTGATTATACAAAATCATTATTAATTCTGCTATAATATACTTCTTTATAATTACAAAGTTATTGCTCATTAAGAATTCTTCCTTTTAAAATTTTCATACTAGACAGAAAAAAATTCAAATGGTTACGTTTCAATCAAATCTATTATGCTATAATTAAGCTAAAATTTGAGGACAGAGTTATCATTGATCGAACTAATCAGACAGGTCCATAGGAACCGGGGCAGGGGGTCACGGGGGAGGGCATGTACCTCCTTACTAATCTTGCCGTTATTTTTTATTGTATATTTTAAAATATGATATACAGCTGTACTCCCTCACAAAATTTGCCAGTATATCGTATTCAGTATAACTTAATCCTATTCAGATTTATATCTCCTGAAAAGGTTGGATGATCTACGCGAAAAAAGAATGAAAACAGCGTCCAGATAGCTTTTTTTTAATATGGAGAATAAGAAAAAGTAACATAATGATAACTCTTGTGAATAAGGAGGGAGAACCAGTTGTTGTATTCCATTTTTATGCTGAAGGCCGTGTGTGAAGTTTGCAAATGTTAAATCCCTCCCTGTTCTTGTAATATTTTTGTACCTAAGACAATATCTTTTATTTACGTAAGCAACTTAAGGAATACTTTTTTTTGTTTTTTGTTTTGGTTTGTTTGTTTAATGTCCCTTTCGACAATTTTTCACTCGTAGTGGGAGGCCACCATTACCGGTGGAGGACTGCAAGTTTTAGACCTATACTCGGCACTTAAGACCAATGAGCAGTGAGGGATCTTTTTCGTGCCAGCACCTACTGCGATACGGAACCTCGGTTTGAAAGCCTTTTACTTTATTTACTTAAGCCTCAATTGATTTCTCATTTTCTCTTGAATTCACAAAACTTAACCAACTTGCACTCCCCGTAACAATTTCAAGTACATTGTTCGAGTAAATTTTGAATTATAGTTTTTTTTTTAAACATTTGAAATGGCCTCGGATTTTGCTTATCATTTAAAAGGTATGAGATATATCTTGCAAACATTTCCCTGAAACTCTATCAGCTAAAATACGTTCATATTTTTTGGCAATCTGATTCACAGTCACTCTCCCGTCTCTGCCAATTTTAATTTTTTTTTTTACTTTGACTTTTGTCATTGATAACTAATATAGGCCTTCCTGATAAACATTTGACATAATGTCATGTAGTGTATGTATTTTTGAGAATAACATATTTTTTCTTTGTTTTTCACTCAAAAATAGCATAAGTATCTACATGTATATCTTACCACCGACATGTGGCATGTGACTTAATTTTGCCATTACGCATGCGTCAACAATTTAATTCGAATTAGCTTCGCTTAGCGTTCACACGGAGCTAATGCGAAGTAATTTGATGCACAGTAAATTAATTCGAATCAACTAATTCATATTAAATTCTCCATGTGAACGCGGTTCAAATTTAATTCGCAGTAACTAACGTTTAATTTATGAACTGATGATCATATATTGTCATTTAGAGAAAAACTATCTGCATTCATATTATGTAATACATTTATGCCCTGTTCACACGGAAAGTTTAATTCGAAGTAAACGTAAGTTATTGCGAATTAAAATTTGAACCTCGTTCAAACGGGGAATTCAATGCGAATTAGTTTAATTCATACGCTGTTCACACGGAGAGTATAATTCGAATTAAACGTAAGTTACTGCGAATTAAATTTGAACCGCGTTCACATGGGGAGTTTAATGCGAATTAGTTTAATTCGAATTAGTTTACTGCGCATTAAATTACTTCGCATTAGCTCCGTGTGAACGCTAAGCGAAGCTAATTCGAATTAAATTTTGACGCATGCGTAATGGCAAAATTAAGTCACATGCCACATGCCGGTGGTCAGATATGTACTTCTGCTATTGTTTTTAGTGAAAAACAAAGGATGTTATCTTAATCATTGAAATGTGTACAGACACTATGACATTATGTCAAATGGATCTGCTCTGCATAAGGTGACGTGATTTGAAATAACGTCATAATAACCTTGCTGAATTGCCTTACTGTAGAAATAAAATTTTAATTCGCATTAACAGTGGCGGATTTAAGCGGGGCGCATCCGGCGCGCGCGCCCCTAAAATTGTCAAAGTTAGCGTAAAGTTTAGTCGAGAAAATGTAAAAATGTCTACTCGGTAGACCTCATTTTCACCCTACAAAATCTCTAGAATCCAGAAGCTTCCTGGCCCCCCCCACCAGGGCTTCGCCCTGGACCCACTGGGGGCCTCAAGGCGGCCCCCAGAGCCCCTACCTACTTCTTGCGCCCCCTTAACTTCAATTTCTGGATCCGCGCCTGCGATTAGTTTACTTCGCATTAGCTATCATGTGAAACGCAATTTAATTCGCATTAGTTTGATTCGCATTATTTTACTTCGCATTAATTTACTGCGAATTAAACTCTCCATGTGAACAGGGATTAGTGTAATTATTTTTAATTGATAGCCCTAGAATGGTGATAGAATTGTAGGTATAACATTTTAAAGGAAGTTCAAATTCAGCACATGCTTGAAGAAAACGCACACTGCTGTTGGCAATTCCTTTTAGAAACTCGGTTGTAACAAAAACTAGCATGCTTTCTACTCAGTTTTATAATGCAAAATGAAAAAAAAAATGTGAAAGGAAATAATTCATTAATAAAAAATGGCAAATTTCAAAGGAATTGAACACTTTACCTGCTTATTCAGTAAGCAACTAAAAATAGCACCAGTATTTTGTCATATGACAATTAACCACTGACACTTTAAGTTTGGTATAAAGAAATGAGACATGTCTTAAAATTAGAACAAATAAAGATTCATGTAACTTCATATACTAGCAAGTTTATGAAAAATATTACAATGTACTTTCAATGTTGCGTTACACACAGGTAACAAATATATCTTACGGAGAGGGCGATTGAAGGTATTCAGAACTTGGCTTGCTCAATCCCATTGTGTATATTTATTACAAAATAAATTGAAATAAATCAAATACCTTTCATTTTGGGTTCCTTTGTCTGTTTAGTAATTGTAGGAATCTTGGTGTTCCGTGCTGCTGTTGTTGTACTTGAATTTCTTTTAAAAATATTGTCAAAAAATAACAAATATTTCAGTTTTTGCGCTTAGACTTCTTATTAACCTCTGGATAGACATATATATGTAATTCGATATTTTGAATGGCTATAAAGCTTACTTACGGAATGGATAGTTCTGGGACACAGTTCAAGTCATCATACTCTGATCTATAGTACCCGTATGGACAAACTGTTATACACTGATAGGCTGCAAGAATTCCACCCAAACATGTTAAAACTTGTAAATTACTACACTGGTCACTTGATTAACTAATTACATTAACCTCAAAGAGGTTCATCTCAATCATATTTTATACTTTAAGGCTTCTGCACTACGAGAATTTTTTTTCTTTAGATGCTTCATACATAACTATAATTAAGCATAGGTAAAATGTCATTGCTTCATATTACATGTATATAATTTAATTTCACCCTTGTTTAATTCTTTCCCCTTTCCACATGGAAACATAGTACATCCTCTTTCCTTTGACCTAGGTTCGTAACATGACTTCATTTTGGGGTTTGAAAGTAAATACTCAAAAGATCTGTACCCACTCTTGTAATCACATCGACACATTCGGTCACTGACGTCACTTCCATCATCACAAGCCTCCTCTCCATCATCACGACACAAATCTTTTATATACATACATTTTGCTGATTTGAACTGGTTTGACATTTGTCCATTTGGCTGGTAGAGTGAAGGAGGACATCGTCTTTCTATTATTTTTGTGTCTCCTATCAACAAAACTGGATAATGACCTGGAACGGTTGTCAAAATAATTCATAAAATAACGAAGTCCAGATCATGAATGTATCAAATAGGCGTAATTTCTGGAATAAATGTTTAAAACTTGGTTCTACAGAATAATCTTTATAGAAAATCATCGATCTTACCTGCTTTAATAAATTTGGGAGCAATACATTTTTCCTTAATATCTCCGACTTGGCTTTCCAAACAGTGATACCACGATGGATCTTTACAAAGAATCTTAGCACGGGCGTCCCAAAGCTGAATATGTGGACAAGGTTCTTTGGTCCATACAAGAGTAAGTGTCTGCAAGAGCAAGACGCATTTTTTTTTTAACTAAAGCCAATCTCTTGGACAAGTTTTGAACAAGAACTTTCCCAATGGGAGTAATATATCCTCCAGAGAGAACTCTATTTGATTATTTATCAAACAGCAAATTAGTTAAATTTCATACATTCAATGATGATTTTTGAAACAGATGATCATACAGTATTGGAAAACAAAAAAAAAAATCTCAATGAAACCGAATATACTATATCAGGAAGGAAGAAAATGCGAAGGACCAGCAAAAAAGGGTCCCTAAACTAGTAATAATAAACTTTAAGAAATGTTTCAATCCCCTTGGTACGCAAAAGATGGTTTTAATGCTGGTTACATTACAAAGTTGCTCATTGCACATGCAGTCTTTTCAAAATTTATTTTCAGTGTCTATAATTAAATAGGACCACTCTAATTTTTTTCTCTGTTTAGCGTCGACCTATTATTCAAAACCCTATCTCCTTTTTTTTAAAAAAAAAAAATCATCAACAACACACAAACCGAAAAATAAAATACAAATTTTAGACACACATAAAGAACATTCAATCAGTTTAATTTCATTGTTCTATTTTTCCTGTAGAAAGATGAATGCTTTGCAAAATCAAGTAAGTATATGATAATTAATTACTTAACCTGATTCTCTACAAATTTTGAAAGAAATTAACAGAATTCCAAGGTTTCCATCAAAATAATCAATTCCTGGATTGCTTATAATGTTTGTTTTTCTGCTCTGGGGTGTCAAAAACCAAGGCATGTGCGGACACTAAACATATCAAAAAGGAATGGCTTAATATACATGTACTTTTAGCATCTGCTTTATTTTCTGTGGTTGTTCAGTTCAAATAAAAGTTCACATCCTAATTGTGCTCTCCATTCCAAAAACACCATTCGCTAGATTGTCTGTATCATAATCTGATATGCATTTCTTTAAGCTCCGTGTATGATTTTAGGAAGAAAAATTTTGTACCCACTCTCCCTATCAAACTTATCAAATTACTTTAAATACCTACTCCAGTGTAGCTGATTCTATAAATACTGAGTACTATGGATTTAAGCCTGCAGTCTTACAAGAATTGCTTCAGTGGTCATTAACACTTTTGTCTTTTGTTATAATATCGGACTGTCTCAGGTAAATCAAAAAGCGATGTTGTAACTACCATATATGCCTCATACAACTCTGTATGAAAAAATATCAGACAGTTTGAGGCCCGTTAGGACCTCAAACTGTCTGATTTTTTTTTCATATAGAACTGTATGAGGCATATATCCAATGCAGATATATCCAGAACTTGAGGTAACAATTATCAAACTTTTCCCCGGTATTATGCGGTCCTCTCAATAACTATTATATGTTTCATGTTCGTGTTCTCTCGGGCTTTTCATTCTCCACCTTAATTCTATGATAGACACTCGATTAATGAGGGACATTGTTGTCTCAAGGTCCCTTAGCTTTGGTCTTGTATATTTTTTTATGCTACAACATAATTTGCCAATTTAAGCTTTAAGATTGGCATAAAGAATATTGCGAGGAGCATGTTAACAGTGAACGTCGTTCAAATGAAACTAAAACCTATAAGTGCCAGTATTTTGCTTTGAGTAATTGTTCATATATTTTATCAGGACTGAGGTGGCTGGTTTAAGTAAAATATTCAATCAGCTGGAATCTGTAGACAACAGAACGGATCAATGATATGAATCAAAATATTAATTTCATGAATTTCAAAATAACCATGGCTACACTGATATTCTAAATTCTGAAACGGAGGATTAGCGTTTTGAAATGTAGTTTACACACAAATCATACAAACAGACGAGCAGATTAACAGAGAAACAGATACTAGCGAGACAGATATACGGGCAACGAACTTTTTACATCATTAAAACGCCCAGGAAATCCCCACAATAATTTTATCACAGCATGAACAAATTCAATTAAAAATCATTTACAGCAACAAGGTTCATTTGCATGTAAATTCACTGTTGTTTACGAAAGTTCAAAATATGTAACGAAATAGTGAAGCTTTCAAATTGATATCGTATGATAAATGAAATACATGTATGTACATATGAAACAAGATTAAGAAATAACTTACCGTAATGAAGAATAAAAACTGGAAACAATCAAATATATTTTCACCCATTTTCAATTTGATCCATGGCAGTATTTACGTCATCGCAAAATATCCAAAAATAGATGTAGAAAAGCCTATGTAATAAATAACAAACAACAGAGCAGCTATATAAAATAGAATAAATATACAATGATTTTGAAATGAAATATATATATCATTACGAATATATCCATACCATATCACCTTGTCATGAATTACCAAAATTTAAAACGAAAATAGAGTCAGCTGTAGGTCGGGATATCCCATTGTCACTACCTTGAGTTTCGTAAACATTGCAGGTCGTCTACTATTACATATTAGATAGTGAAATAGATGACCTTAAATGCACGTACCTATAGAAAACAAGCGGAAGTCAAAATAAAAAAAAAACAGGTAAGACACGTAAAAGATCCTTTAAATGGATTTATTAATACAGTTATGACTCGACTGAAACTGGGCAAAATTAGTAAAGCATAGATGAATAACACCTCTTGAAAGGTATGATAACTGTTATTATGCTTCATGTTGTATACAACGGGAGCATTCAGTAAATAAAGCTAAAGTCACCAAAGATAGATAAGCGTAAGGGGGATTTAAAAAAATATTTTAAATCCCTGCTCTGTTAACTTATATGCAAGTCTCTTTACCCAATCGGTGTCATACAGAACGCCTCCCCCAGTTAAATGTTACTATTATGTAGGTAAACCTCCCCCAGTTGGGGGAAGGTTTGTTTTATATATAATAAATATTATTATTTTATGTATTCAATGCGGAATACATGCTTTTGTTGTAGTGTTCATCCATATGCAAAAAACAAATATTTGGGAGTTCAATCTCTGTGAAATTATTGATGTTGATCAGAAGAAACTTTAAAATAATCTTTAGTGAAATTTTCATGAACATGTAACTTTAACAAACAAATCCCAAAATATTTTTTCAAGAGTAAAAACAAAATGAAGGTTAAAACAAATCACTTTTGCGTTGACTTTATTAAATATTAAAATTTTTCATCAATGATTCACGAAATTAAACCTAAGTGAAATATAATTTCAAAATAAACCAGAAGTCTCTGACGAGACTGTAGCTCTGCTGGAATGTGTATCGTGGGGGAATGGTTGTATATAAAAATGAACAGTCGTAAGTTTTATGTTGTTGATTTTGGTAAAAATTTTGTGATTTCATATTTTTAAAATTCCTCGGAATTTTTAAGTATCCATATCTGATTTACACCGCTTCTTGAATATATAGTTGCACAGTACTCTTGAAGTTTCTCCTTCACTACTGTTAATATTTTAGTGAGGAGTAAAGAAAGAGGCTTGGTAGAACATTTACTGGAACCCGCTTTGTATCTTTGTTTGTAAGGATTTTTATGAAGTTTCGGAATCCAATATATAATTATGGTTATTCAAATTCATGTCGGCTGTTGGGAATATTAAAAATATATTTTGAAGAATTTCCTCCTTAGAAAGGGAGCTATAGGCAGGCACGTAGCAACAGGAGGGGGGGGGAGCAGGGGGGCCTGGCCCCCCACTTTTTTCCAAAGACTTTTCTATTTGAAATGTTAATTGAAAGGCCGGTTGCCAACCCCCCCACCCCCCCCCACCCACCCCCCCCCCACACACACTTTTTGCTGTAGAATAGTCAAATAAGGGTTTTATAGTAGTGTATGAAAAAAATGGTACTTTTTTTTTGCTTGTCATTTTTTTTTTCTGGTTAAGTTTAATTTTTTTTTTTATCTCTGGCTGCCCCCCCCCCCCTTTCAAAAACGATGCTACGTCCCTGATAGGTATAAGTTCCTCTAAAATACAATTTAAATAATGAGCCTACAAACAAAGACAATGCTGTTACCTGCTTTGTCAGCAAGGACCAGTACATACTGATCGTGTAATCTATTTAATTCTTTATTTCACTTCTGAATTATTGAACACAGAAGGATAGTTGGTTTTCATTTGCCAATCAATTGCTTAATGCGATATTTTAACATACATCCAATATATTTATCCATTCTGACAACATGTCAAGGTCTTTTTTTTCATGTCTGGCCCATCGACCGGCGTAATCTTCTACAGAATCAATAATATTAATGAAATTTTGACGCCAGTTAAAAGATCGGGGTTCCCTAAATTTTGGCCCTTTTAAAATTAATGATGTGTATCAAGTCTTATTGAAATTGGACATAAACTTTAGAAGGAGTAACGTTTTAAAGGAACTTCAGAGAAATTTCTTGTTTTAGAATCCATGGCAACACCATTTGTTGAAATCAAAAACTGACGTAGAGAATTACATATCGTAATGTAGTTTATGTGTTTGAATTCCTGTTAAAATTGGACCAAAACTAAAGGAGGAGTAGCGTTTTAAAAATGTTTACAGACGGACAGACAGACATACAGCTAGACAAAAAGACAAGCGAACGAACAGACAACGGACACAACCAATACATCTGGTACCTGGTCTCAGACCAGTAGAGCTTTAAAAAATCCCACAAAAAGTATGCTTACTTACTTACATCTCTTCGTTCCTGCAGCGGCATAGGACCTAAATAACAGCCTTCTATTGTCTCTGTCTTGAGCTCACTTCCGTATAGATCTTAGCTCCGCATCTAGGGTTCGTCTCCAAGTTGTTCCGGGTCGCTTTTCTCTTGCCCTTAGGGTTCCAGAGCAGGGCATGCCTTGTGATAATATTCTATGGTCTTCAAAGTAAATGACCAATCAAATATCATTTTCGCAGTTTGATGGTCTCAGCTATGGGTGTTTTGTTGGTTCTTCTCCATGTTTCTTCGTTCAATATTTTTTCAGACCATGTAAATGAAATATATGGAGATAACGAACAGTATTCAAGCTCAAAAGTCCATTAATCAATACAAAATAGGAGTAGAGC